ATAAATAATAATAATAAATAAAAAAATAAGGTATTACATTTCCCACTTAATAATTCATTATATTTGTTGAATTTGAATAATCTAGCCATTAAATAAAAAATTATTAATATATAAATCAAGTTTACAAATTTTTAAAAACTTTAAAAATCAGATACTTCATTATATAGATTTGAATCAACGTGTAAAATATTTTTATAATTATTTGAATTAATGAAATAAAATATCAAATAGTTTTTTAAAAAAAAACTTGTATATTTTATATATGTAATAAAAACTTTTAATTTAATGGCTCGTAAATTTATTTCACTCAATAATACATTATGTATGTTGAATTTCAGTGATTCAATTGTTAAATTAAAAGTTTTTAATGATAAATCAAATTTACAAATTTTTAAATTTTTTAAAAAATATTTGATACTTCGTTTCATTAATTCAAATAAATAAATAATCATGAAAGCATTTGATATGTTGATTCAAATCTATATAATGAAGTATCATATAATTTTTAAAGTTTTTAAAAATTTGTAAACTCGATTTATACATTATGAACTTTAAATTTAATGGTTGAATTATTCAAATTGAACACACATCACGAGTTATTAAGTGAAGTAACTATACAAAGAGTTATTTTTGGAGTAATTTGATTCATCTTTATATGTGTCTGTGTGTATTGAGAAAGAAATAACGGGTTCAGTTACTTTAGGAATAAAGTTACATAAACTTACTATACTCAATAACTATATTCTACATTAAATTTCAACCATCAATTTGAATTAATGAAACATAATAAAAAATAGTTTTCAAAATTTTTAAAACTTTGCAAACTTGATTTATGAATGAATAATTTTTAATTTAATGGTTAAAATGGTTAAAATTTAATGTAGAATATAAGTTATTGGGTGAAGTAAGCCTATGTAGAGTTATTCTTAGAATAAATGGATTCTCCATCTCTCTCTACACACACACACACACACACACATATATATATATATATATATATATATATATATATATATATAAAGATAGATCAAATTACGCTATGAGTAACTTTTGGTATAATTACTTCTTCCAATAATTCATGATGTATGTTGAATTTGAACAATTCATCTGCTAAATTAAAAATTCTTAATGTATAGATAAAGTTTATAATTGTTTTAAAACTTTGAAAATCATATGATACTCCGTTGTATAGATTTGAATTAACGTACAAAATATTTTTATGATTATCCATTAATTTAAATTAATAAATGAAACATCAAATAGTTTTTTTTTTAAATTGTAGAATTAATCTATACATTAAAAGCTTTTAATTTAATGATTACGTTGTTGAAATTAAATATACACAGTGAGTTATTGAATAAATTAACTTTACCAAGAGTTATTCTTGGAGTAATTTACCAAGAGTTATTCTTGGAGTAATTTGATATGTTTTCATATATATATATATATAGAGAGAGAGAGAGAGAGAGAGTTAATCATCCCTACACTGCCAGTATAAAGTTTTTTACACTAGCAACCAATCATATCTTTTAAAGTTATTTATTTTATTATTATTTCATTAAATAAGCAACTGACATGTCACTATTAAAATATATGATTGGTTGCCAGTGTAAAAAAACTTTACACTAACAGTGTATAGGCGATTAACTCATATATATATATATATATATATATATATATATATATATATGAAACACAACAATCAAATTTTGTTAAAATTGAACAACAACTTGAAAGTAATCAAAGTGTTAATATTTTAGTATATTTTGAAATGAATATATTACGTCAATTTTGTTTTATAAGAATGAAGTATCAAATCATCTTGGATTAATATAAAATTTTGTATATATGATCTAAGAGTAAAGAACTTTCAATCTAACGGTTGAATTTATAAAATTCACAATTAATATAAAGTTATTGAGGGGTGTAACACTTAGTAAAAGTTACACCGGTGTCGTTTGAACCTCTTATATATATATATATATATAAGGAATCCACTGACTATAAAAGTAAGTTTACTTATATTTAGTTCACTTAATAACTAATGTTTAAAATCAAATTTTAACGATGAAACTGTTGAATTAAAAATTATTAATGTGTAGTTCAAGTCAACAAAATTTAAAAATTTTGAAAATAATTTTATATTTCATCTCGTTAATTCAAATCAACAAATAACAGTTTAATATTTAAAGTCTAAGTAAATTTACTCATTGAATAAATAGATTTTTCTTTGTATTTATACTTTTTCTTTCTCTCTCTCTATATATATATATTTGTTGGCACCATCATCAATATTAAATTAGTGAAATGACAATTTTAATAATTTTTTATTAAAATAAATTCAATCAATAAAACCTTGTATTTGATAATATTACTAACTAAATTAAGTTTTCAAAATTAAAAACATTTATTAAAGCAATATATTATTATTTTATTAGGTGATTTTCATAAAGTAGTATCATTGTCGAATAATATTCATTATACCAATAATATTATAAAACTTTTAAAATCAACGAGTTATTATTGAATAAATATTTTTAAGAATTCTTATAAATTATTATCTAATTTATTTTTTATTTATCATATTTATTTATGAATTAAATTTTAATATTTTAGAAATAAATTATCAATAATTAAAAATAATTTTATGTCACAATATAAATTATTTATCTCAATTTAAAATATAACTTATACTTAAAAATATTTATTTATATAAATTTTAAACATAATTTATATATTTAAATATAATATTTATTTTTTTTATAATTTATTATAAATTTTAATTATGTATAATAAATATTTAGCCTAACATTCAGATTAAAATAATATACTCCTTATGTACCTATAAGTAAAATATGTTAAAACTTTTTAAACTGAAATATATGTAAATTTTAATGAAATCAACTTTTTTCAACATTTTTATTATTCATACAATAATAAACTTGAGTAGCATCTATTTTATAATAAATGTGATGGGAGATATTTTAAAAAAATATACTATAAATTTTATACAAAATATAAAATTAAATACATTAGTTAATTCTTTTTATATGCATAAAATTGGTATCTTTTGACAAATAAATTCATAAACAAGGTTTATTCCTAGAACAGTATAAAGCGAAAGTGATAGACACGACACGACGTCGTCAGATCGTGGGTGAGGTTGCAATAAGGCGGAAAAGTCAGGGGTAAAATGGAGAAAAAAATTGTAACTAAAGTATCGAAATCCATTGAAAAAAGAAAACCATTCCAATACTCACTCTCTCTCCGGTGTCTTCTCTGTTACGTCGTCGTTTCACAGCCACCGCCACAACCCTTCGACTTTCGAAAACCCTAACCCCACTCTCATACTCCCTCTTTTTCATTATTTGAGATTTCGAACTTCTACCATCTTCCCCAAAGGTTTGATTTCTTTACTTAGCTGCTTATTTGTAATTTATGGTTTAGATTACTATCGCTGTTTCCCACAGATCGATTTATGCTCTGGTGTATCCGCACCGTGCCAAAATTCTTAAAATTTTAATTTCAGAACTCACATCTACCAAAACTAACTGAAACTAATATAACTAATTGAGCTGTTTCAGTTTTTTGTATTGTCCTGTGCATAAAAGAAACTCCAATGATTCTCTGCCTCTGTTTTGCTTAGTTCTATTTCTATAGTACACTGTATCAGATCATTCAATGTTTTTGTATAGTTAAATTGTGCTATGATTTATGAACTATAGTTGGTAGTTTAAAGTTGTGCAATATCAGTATCACAATCACAGCTTTGATCTGCCGGGTGTGATATGAACTGATGTGTAATTTTCTTTGCAGTTTGCTACCATGGCTGGGTTGGCACCGGAAGGATCACAATTTGATGCTCGTCAATATGATGCTAAGATGAATGAGTTGTAGGTTTCCCCTTCCTTTAGATGGATTCTTAGAAGAGATGCTATGGCGTTGAGATATGCTTTTATTTTTTTCGAATTAGTGATACCATCTTATTATTTCAAACATAATGCCTACCTGTAATGCACCATGTCTTGTATGCTCATTCTTGGTTTGATGTGTTGATGGAGCCAGACTTGGAACTGATGGACAAGATTTTTTTACTTCTTATGACGAAGTTTGCGAAAGTTTCGATGCCATGGGACTGCAGGAGAACCTTCTGAGGGGTATTTATGCATATGGTATGTACATTAGTATTTGAATGTACTCTAATTTTGAATCTTGTTTGAGAACTTTGGTTTCTATTGTTTATAACTGCATCAAAACTGGGATTAATTTATGGTCAAATTATATGCCTCTTAAGAGTCTTGAATACTAGCTGCACTTTCTTTTTTGATTGTTGATGTTGCTATTATTTGCCATTGATAACTAAGCATTTGTGTGGATGTTGTATTACTTCTGAGAAGGTTTCGAGAAGCCCTCTGCCATTCAGCAAAGGGGGATTGTTCCTTTCTGCAAGGGGCTTGACGTAATTCAGCAAGCACAATCTGGAACTGGAAAAACTGCTACATTTTGTTCTGGAATTTTGCAGCAGCTTGATTACAGCTTAGTGGAATGCCAGGCTCTGGTTCTTGCTCCCACTCGGGAGCTTGCTCAACAAATTGAGAAGGTCATGCGAGCACTAGGGGACTATCTTGGTGTCAAGGTTCATGCTTGTGTTGGTGGGACCAGTGTTCGTGAAGATCAACGCATCCTCTCAAGTGGGGTTCATGTTGTTGTTGGTACACCTGGTCGTGTATTTGACATGCTGCGTAGGCAATCTTTGCGCCCTGATAACATCAAGATGTTTGTATTGGATGAAGCAGATGAGATGCTCTCTCGAGGTTTCAAGGATCAGGTCCTCTCATTTTCCCATGGTGCTATCTTTAATTTGCTTCATTCTTTTGTTGTGTTGGAATAAGTTTTTGGCTTAGAAATCCTAATTAGTGTTTTATTTGAATTTTCACCAAATTTATAGATAACTGAGCTATAATGGCTACCAATAACCTTGTTAGTCGTGGTTTGTCAAACAGTACATTTTGGTGGACTAGATACAACACAACAATATATTAGCCTGTTAAAGATGCAAGTGCATATTTGAATAGATTTTGATCATGAAAGAATAGGATAATAGAAATCCCGTTTCAGTCTCTTTTCTTTTATATATTCATCTTTTATCTCTTATGAAATTTAGAAAAAAATGCATATGGTACTGTTATTCGAGGTACAACTTAAGTAAATTCGTCGTTCATAAGTGCTACTTTTTTAGTGTTCTTATGGGCATGCATATTTAAATACTTACTCTTTGCCATTTTGATAATTATGGGTTTCGGTTTGTGGTCTGCATTGGTAGCATGTACATGTTTAATATGCAATACAAATAAATAGCTACAACTTTATCTGCCTTTTGGTTCATAAAGTGTATCCTCCTGAACTTTTACCTTTCTTTTGTACCACCTTCCAGATCTATGATATTTTTCAGCTGTTGCCACCTAAGATCCAGGTTGGAGTTTTCTCTGCCACAATGCCTCCTGAAGCCCTGGAAATCACAAGGAAATTTATGAACAAACCTGTGAGGATTCTGGTAAAACGTGATGAGCTTACCTTGGAGGGAATTAAGCAATTTTTTGTCAATGTAGATAAGGAGGAATGGAAGCTCGAGACACTATGTGATCTTTATGAAACTTTGGCAATCACTCAGAGTGTTATCTTTGTGAACACCAGACGCAAGGTAGATTGGCTCACAGACAAAATGCGGGGTCGTGATCACACAGTTTCAGCTACTCATGGAGATATGGACCAAAACACAAGGGATATAATTATGCGGGAATTCCGTTCTGGGTCCTCCCGTGTTCTTATTACCACAGATCTTTTGGCCCGTGGTATTGATGTCCAGCAAGTCTCACTTGTTATAAATTATGATCTGCCAACTCAGCCAGAGAACTATCTTCATCGAATTGGTCGTAGTGGTCGGTTTGGGAGAAAGGGTGTTGCTATCAATTTTGTGACCAAGGATGATGAAAGGATGCTGTTGGACATCCAAAAGTTTTATAATGTTGTGATCGAGGAGCTGCCAGCCAATGTAGCTGATCTCATTTGATTTGGTCTTTGCTTCATTGGTAATGCTTTAATTATGGAGGCCGCAGTCATTATTTTATTGTCATGGCCCAGGGCCTTTCTCTAGCAAGATTTGAACTTAACCCCAAACCAGTGGATTTGAAATGGGCATTTTGATCTCTAATTTTGGGTCTAGCAGAATGCGTTGTCGCAATTTTGTTTTGTTTGTTTGTATCTGTCTTGCTAAAGATTGTTGATTGCCGGTTTCTCTGTGTTTTGTTTTAATATCTGTGAGGGTGGTTGTGTAAATTTAAAACTTTTCTATCTTTACGTTGGAAATGTACTGGACTTGTTCTCATTGTCACCCCGTTGAATTGTCTCGTATGTACCTGTCACATGTTGCTCGCCCTTAAACTGCAAATGGAAGCTGTTTAAGTGACGGTCCAAAATTTCTTTTTTATAGGACCAAAGTATTAGAACAGGGTTTCTCCAGGGTGGATCTGTCGGAGTATACAAGGATGTCTTTATATTTTATATAATTCGAAGTATATTGATATCTTAATACAACAAAAAAAATATAAATAAATGCATATTTACTTGTTTACCCTAAATATAACATAACTCTTGGATATTGTTTGTATGCTTCAGCTTACAATGAGGTTTCCTTGGTAAAGAATAGATTGCTCGTTACGTATTTGAGTAGCAATATGTGCAATCATAGCAATTGCTATCAATTGCTGGGTCAACTGTCTGCTAAGTCATTCATACTATTATTAGCGGTGACTTGTAGCATACGCTATCCTTGCTAGAGGAGTAATGATACATTTGCAACAAAAAATTATACAAGAGTTGTACAAGTTTCTTATAATTTTTTGTTGTAAAAGTTGTATAATTTTTGTTGTAAAGTTGTTGTATTGTATTTATTGTATATTTAGTATTACTTATATATATATATATATGTAT